GGGCCCCACTGCAGGTGGGATGATGAGGGCTAGGAGTAACACTATGTTCAATTAATGTGATTTTATTTTAAATATATAGCATACTTAAGCTATTATGCTAACCTTTAGTTTATTAAAATTCACCTCAGATCCCTTTTTATTGTTCATGATAGATAATAATTGGTAGAAGAGTGTGAACTTTATTTCTGCTTCTGGGGTGAAGCGTATCAGAAAAAGTTTGAGAAGCACATTTTATCAAAACCTAAAAATTGTCTTTCTGTTTTTCCTTGATCTCCAACTTTATCTTTCCTCTCTCATTCAATGTTCCACTGTTTTTGAGGTCAGCTGATCATTGTAGTGATAATCTACCATATTATCCCAACAGTGCACTTTTCTCTGGAAGTGCTGGTTTAACTTTAGTTTCTTGAGTTTCCAGAAGTAGAATGGGAGGAGCAATCAGCTATCAAGACCCTCTTCTGTTGGATTTATGAAACAAGCCCTGTCTCTAAAATTAGATTAAGCTTCAAGCTTTTATTTTTGACACGGCATGCTATAGCATCCCCCTAGTTATGCTGCTATAAGCTCTCACTGGTGGGAGACTTTCCATGAACAGAGCATTTTCATTCTCCTCTGAGATGCATTTTTTGTTTGTTTGAAACTGTCATACATGAATTCATGAAACAGTGATGTCCTCTAAGTTTCCAGGTTTTTTGTTTGTCTGTGAACACGGTTATTTATCTGTCTAGATTAACCCATTCTTTATGAAATTAGTCATTTCAATTTTTAAAGTAAAAAATAAAAAATAAGTTAAATACAAATGTCTACATTCAGAGGCTGAAGGGAATGGTAGTGAAATGAATCATTTTGCACTCACACAAGACCACACTTTGAGTCATACACATTATAGATATTTTACTTTTCTTTTGTCTAATTTTAATATGTAATTAGTTGAAAATATGTTATAAATAATCATTAGAAACTACTTGATAAGGTGTATAAAAAGGTGATGGTTTGGTTTAAAATACTTTTCTCAGTTGCCACAGTGATGTGTTCCCACTGTAGCATCTGCACAGCAGAGACCTGAAATGTACTGTAGTGATTAGTTTAGCGGTAAAAGAAAAAAGAAAATCATTTCCATCAACGTGGACAAATAAATGACCTTTTTGTGATTTTTTTGCCATTTGCTATAGAACCAGGGTGATTGTACAACTGATGATGCTACAAGTCATTAATGTTTGTCTTCTCTCTCCCAGAGTTTGTATTTTCTGCTGTTTTTTGTTTGTCTGTTCCTCCTTTCTCCTTACTCTTCTCTTTCCCCTCATTCTTTATCTGGTTGTACCAGAAGGCTACCACTTTCACTGGCTACTAATCAGATCTAGGTTCCATTTTAATTTTTTTTGTTTTAACCTTTAGAGCACTACATGGACAGGCCCCTCCCTATATTGGTAATTTGATTCACATATACACCTCTTCGTGTAACCTCCGGGGGACGACGGTGGTCCCCCACACTCGTTTCAGAGCTTGAGGGGACCGATCTTTCCTTGCATCCAGACTGTGGAATGCACTTCCTATATTTCTACAGCGTTTGGACTCTGTGGAGACCTTCAAAAAGCAGCTAAGGACATTTTTATTTCAAAAAGCTTTTAATTAGACCAGGGCTTTTATGATGTATTTATGATTGTATTGAGTTTTTGTTACCTCTCTTGTGAAACACTTTGTGACATATGTCTGTGAAAAGTGCTATATAAATAAACTTTTACTTTCTGATTTACTTTACTGTTTCTCTTCCTGCTAAAATAAGTTCTTTCTCCCCATTGTTACCAAATCCTTTCTCATAGGGCATCAGCTGATGGTTGCAGTTTCCAGATACTACAAACTGTCTTACATATAAATACAGCTGAAGTGAGCTGAAAAATGGTGATTATAATGTTTTTTACATGTTACATGTCAAGGTTATTGCAGCTAACTAAAACGAAACTTAAAAACTAAAACTAGATGTGAAACTAAAATAAAAATAAAAACTAGAACCAAATGAAATGATTTTGTAAACTTAAACTAACAAAAATAAAATAAAAACATAGAGGAAATGTCTATTTTTAGTTTTAATGTTTGAGTATTTGTTACTTTGGATCAAATAATGTATTACAACTTTGAGACTATTTACAAGACTGTGAGCTGACTGTGAGTTAAAATGTTTTTTTTTTTTATTGTTATACCTATAGTAATTTTCCTAAATCTTGCCTCAGATTATTATTATTACGCCCTCAAAAATAATACTTAAAAAACTAACACTGAAACGAATAAAACATAAATTAAAACTAAACATTTTTGAACAATAAAAACTAAACTGAAATAAGAAAATCCACTCTGGAAACTTACTGAAACTAAACTGAATTAAAAACAAAAAGTCAAAAAGAAGTAAAAATAAAAACTTATTAGAAAAATTAAAAAAAAATAACTATAATAACTCTGGTGCATGATTATGTGATTATACTGCATGTGTGGTGTTTTTTTTAGTTTTTTTTTTACCATATTTGTTTTATCTCTATCAGCATATACCCTCTGTTTGATGTTTAACCAGTTGTAGCTTATCACAGTGTTCTACATCTTCCACTATCTTCAAACAAACATCTACTCCTTCGCAAATGTAGACAGAATTACATCACTTCCTGTGTGCCAGAGAGTTATTCCAAGGAAAGACCTAGAGATACACAAAACACTGATTTATTTTTAGTCTGGGAGTAATCCTAATCTATGTTCCTGTCATCTATGAAACATCCCTGCAATGTAGAACCTAATGAACTTCATGTTTTAACCTGTTTACATGTTATCCCACTGACTAGGGCTAGGATGTGCATTGTCCTGTTTCAATGCAGCCTTTTCAGCACGTCTTACCCCTCTTCCCTCCCATTTCCTTTGTAGCTCAGGCAAAAAAAAAAAAAGGCATTTGTCTTACTGGATGCTACTCAGACAGGCAAGAAAGAAAGAATAATTTCCTTGGGAGAGGCATTGTGTCCAACATGAATTTAAAAAAGAACAACAGGAAACACTGCTCTGTGAGTGTCTAGTGTTAGTTTGTACAGAGATCACTGACCTGTCCAGCTGTGTCACAGAGTTGTAGTTTAACTGGCTGCCCGTCCACTGATACCACCGCTACATGCACACACAGACACACACA